CGCTAAACAAAGAAATGGACAATTTCCCGTGAAGTCAGGGTCAAATATGTGACTAATGAGACATCATTACAAAACCACATAAAGCCATTAAGTGACAAAAAAAACTTATAACGATTGACAAATCAACTTGGTGACTAATGCAAAATCACTAGAAATCTAAATACATATATTAAAACTTTAAAAAGATTAAGTTGGGAGATTATATAGTATGAACAAATTACATAAGCGTGATTTAGAATTGTGTTCAGACCTCGATCTGAAAATAGTGTTTCAGAGACGGGAGGGGCATTACTGCCTGTAATAGCTGGTGATCAATTGGACCTACCCCTCTAGGCTGTTATTGAAACGAGGCCGATGAACTAATCATCAATGGCGGCACCCACCCCGTTGACTTACAGCTTACCTGATACAGGTATCACTCCGCCAACCTAAACAATACGGACAAATATTTCTATTTCCAGAAAAATATTTAAACCGCGTGCCATATTCGTAGTATATAATATCTTAATATAAATCTGGTACGAACCACCGTACCTGTTCTGGTTTTAAAACAGCATTCCCATTTTCGCGGAGGGATATAATTTTACAACCCGGACGAATTACACCTCCCCGTTCCCGTCTGTGTGAAAGGTGTACCTATAGATTAAACTGCCCAGGTGTGTGTGTGTGTCGAGCTCGTTGATTTTGTACAAATTGTGACATCAGTATCAAAGTTAAGCAATGGAATCAATCAGGAAGAAGGTTGCAGCGTTAAGAGCTGAGGCAGAAGCTGCGCAGGATAGATCCGAAGAGCTTGAGAGGTCACTGAAGGATGAATCGGCGAGAGCTGAAGCTGTAAGCTGCCATTTTGTCTTTACTATCGTACAATTCTGTTATATTTCGTCCCAAATTGATCGTGTCCGATTGACAGGTGTCTCGTACACCCACAAACGTGGCTATGTCGTGACCGTTGTAAATTTGACCGATCGACCGCATGCATGATAGATAGGTCATAAAATGCTATGTTGTATTTCTAATGAACTGCCACGATCTCGACTAAAATGTGGGCTGGGCCACTTTATTTACCGTTGAATCCAAAGTTAACCCTTTATGAACGGGTAAACACTCCGCAAGCACAGATAATGTAACTTTATCAAGTCGATTTGTGATAAGGAACACAAGATGAACGTCAGAGTGTTTGAAAACACACAATTTCAGCAAATTTTCTGAATTATTTGTAAACCTTGTAATAGACATAATGCTATGCACGTCAGTCAGCTGATCCGGGCGTAGTGGAGGTAAGGTATTTGCTGGCGACTGTTTTGCTAACCGCAGATTTCCTTACGTTGATTACGATAATCATAAAAAGCGATTGGGTTGTTTCGATGATTTTACAGTCCGATTCTGTTGGAGTTGATTAGTTCAAACAGCCCAGTAATATGTCCAGGTTGCGTTATGCATTGTGCATATTAATTAGGAAGCCAACTAACTGCACAGTGAATATACGGGACATGTTAAATGAAATGTTTTAGCTGAGATGCACATGTTTTGCGGCTGCATAAAAATATAATAAATGTCAATTCATATTAATAATAAAACTTAACCCACATTATTTGCCATCTTACTTTTTTTCAAGTATGCAAGTATACACAAATATTTGGAAGAACAGATGTAAGCCATGTGCAAATAGTTGTACATATCTTTATTTGGGTAGTTGCTATGAAAGGGTATATTTATTGACAAAAATAATGAAACTTTGACAAATAATTGCTTGTTCGGACTGCTGCTTTATAAACTGATTGCAAAAATCCAAGGCTGTTCCTACAGGGTCTTAAAAAAGCAGAGATATTCCTGCATATTTCCTTCATGACTGAGCCATTGTACAAACAACTGTTATAAAACTGACGTCATGCTTTGCAGTAGTTGTGGTTGTTGTTGTCTGAAGCTAAGGCAGTGTCGTTTTACTATGTGGTCACAAAGAATCCCCTTCTGACCTTGCTTTTTGTACTGAAAAAGCTCGACCATATTTACCAGTCCTTTTCTAAAGTTTGCCCTCTTTGTGTGCATAATCTCTGCTTCGAAGTAACCTTGTTTGTACGTCAAGGTTATGTTTCAGTATGTCAGACAAGTTGAAATGCTGCTAACTCAACTGAAATCAGTTAATTCGCTTCACAGTATTTTGCTGTGTTTAGCATGTTAATGATTTCTATTCAAGTTTCATTGTAGACAATAGAGTTTGCTGTTGTGTACATCTAATGCATTGACATGTGTAAAATCTAATGTTTATTTATGGGAGGGTAATTTTAATGCAGATTTGGTTCAGTCTCTTCTTACAATAAGTACTACATTACATTGGGTAAAATGATGTATCTGTAGACTAGACTGAAGTTTTATTTACTAAGGCTGAGTATTCGATACGATAGGAATTTGATTTGATGGATTTCACTGTTCAGCTGTGGATAGCATTGGTATTTAGTCTTTGCCACTTCATCCAGCTAAATACACAATCATATATTGAGATGGGTCCTCGCAGCAGGTGCAGTGTCTTGTACCTTCTGCCAATATCTATTTTTTTTATCAAAACATGCCCTAACTTTGTACAATTGAACTTTGTACAATAATTAAAAATTTGTCACTTATTTTTCCTGTATTTAATTACACGAGTAAAAAAAATTAATGATGTTTGCCTAACTCAATATATACACTGGAGATGAGAATGCACTTACTAACATTCATAAAAATAATTTATGTTTGACTTTTAAAGGTCGTGTAATGATATGATTGTTATATATTGAATAAGTTATTGGTAATTTGTGACTGGTGAACAACTTTTATTCACTGGTACCTCTCAGAGTGTCTCGATGTCTGACATGGCTTGATTGTCAGAAGAGTTGCTGGTAGATAAAATTTGTTTGGAATATGTGTGAAATATTTCAAGTGGTATACTCAGTAGTGCTTGTGGCCTGTGCAAGTTTGCAGTGTGTTTACTGATCTCCAGTGATGGTTAAAAGGTTTCCATGGCGATTGAAGTGAAGTAGGGATAAACTGCAGAAGCTTGCATGCTCAGAATCGATTCTCAATGAATGAATACGTTGTGTCGGTGGCATCAGGGGGTCTTAGGGTTACTAGCTTCTCTCGGTTGGAAATGCAGAACTTAATGTACTAAAAAAAAATACTTGTTCCTCAATTTGAATTCAATAGATTTTGTGTGGCTATGGATACCACCATGTTTCTGACCTGCTTAGACTTGCCATATTTTGCATATTTCACTAAAAATAAATTTATTCGTAACTGTAACTTTGAATCATTACTATATACTTCATTTATCAACTCTGTGCAGTTAAGATGTGGGAATTTGTTTGAAGAAAATAAATACAACTCAAATTGACTAGTGGTTGATAGTAATATTCAACTGTTGTAGTTGCATGTTTTTGTTTCTCCATATGTTTATCACACTTTGTATCTGTTATAAAATTTACATAATTTTGGTTAAGTCATAATTTAAAGAACCATAAAGTATATCTGCTTAGTCCCAAAATTCTGAAATTGGAATTTATGCATGAGATAATTTTATTTTATTTGCAACAGGTGGCCGGGATAGGGATATATTTGCATATATATCTAATTGTCAAACTTGTGGATCAAACAAACTGAGGTCAGCCAAGTAAAATTGAATCTGACATTGAGTTTTATGTATATAGAACATGCAGGTTCCTTGTTTTGGCTAGGTGCCAAAGTCAAGGCTTTATTTTTTTCCGTTACATACTTGTCACTATGCCAGTTGTCACATCGTATTGTTGGTTTTATTCATACCCGTGGGTTATTGTCTTGTTTTAGTGTCGTCATTTATCATGTTTAAACATCACAAATCACATGACATCAACAGATATTACACTTGTATGTGAGATTTTGAGCAATATTACCTGGGATATGAATGGTATAGATGATTTTACTCTCGTTATGACCATTTGGGTTTAAATGTCTGAATGTTGGAGTGCCATGAAGTGGGAATAATATCCGGTTATAAAAAAAAAGAGGTTAAAGGTCTCGTGTCAGCATGGTTTATTTTTGTGACCACTTGTCAAATGTCAAACCTGTATAAATACTGGCTCACGTTAATTATTATCCAGACTATTGAGTTTCCTCGTGTTACTTTGGAGATTAATTTTGTAGAAATAGCTATTTTAGTTTTTAGCCAAATTATCTCATTTATCCTGTATAAGAGTCAGCTTTTTGTAAAATTATCTACATCTTGAATTAACAAAATTCTTTGGGGTTATAAATGACATAGCTAGTAATGAAATTGTTTTTGCTAAGATGGACCAACATGTGTAACACCATTAGTTGTAGTATTTGTTGCTTTTAACAGTATAAAAATTATGCTGGGAACCTTTATAGTGGTGCAGCATTAACTTGATTATCACACTAGCTAAACAACAATTTAACATCATTTTCATTCTTTGTTTTTGACCAGGCTGAAGCCGAGGTTAGTTCGTTGCAGAGACGTCTACAGCTTCTCGATGAAGAGTTGGAACGGGCTCAAGAAAGATACCAAGTAGCAGCCGATAAGTTAGCCGATATTGAAAAAGCTGCTGATGAAAGCGAGAGGTACATCCAAATTTTCTTGATATTCTTCCCACAGTTCCACACATAGCCTTAAACCGCGGAGATCACAATTTGAATGACTATTGTGTGTAATTTGTTTTGAAAACCTCAATGTGCTACACAAAAGACCGTTCTAAAAACGGTACCATTAATTATTCTGATTTGTAGTACCCCATTCATTTTGGTTTTCACACAGTTGTAAGGAACATTATAAATGTCTTGATAACTTGATTCTAACAACCCAATTATATGCCAGTTAAATGTTTGAATGTTGGAACAGTAATTCACAACTTCAAACTCTAATTAAACTTACTTTCTAAATGTTTTTTTTTCCTCGTCAAACTGCAATGCATTCTTACCACCCTCCAATCCCATTTGCATAAACATTTTTTGTTGAACTTTGACCCTGCGATCAGCTAATATTTTGGGTAGTAGTCATTGCTATGATCACATAATTGTATTTTACTTATTTTAAATGTAAAAACTCTTAACATATTTATATGTTCACTGTTGTTGAGCTACTTTTTCAACCTCAGAGTTATTGACAGGTCTTTTTTCGACCTACAGGAAGGGGTTGGAATTCAAATCGGGTTGACATAAATCATTTCTTCATCAACCACTGTCTCACTTTATCAGCTATAAATACATAGGATAGATTAGTCTGACTATATTGTAGTTGTTTCAGTTTTAGAGACTCCTTTAATGGCATTTCAATGGTTTCAGACAAATACCAAATATAAACAGATTAAATGGGGAATATATCGCCATATGGTCTGTATTTGAAAGTCAAAGCTATGGACTACTTATAGGAATAATATTCTTTCTCATCAACAATATTATATATAAACCAAAAAATAGTAGCATTATAAGTACATGGAAACATTAAAATAGTTGGGGGTAGAGGGGTACTCATCAGAAGGAGTATTAATGAGTTTTTGTTCAGGGAGTACCCTGATGGATGCTGTTCTATTCGCTACCAGCCCTCCCCGCATGTTTCCATATGACACTCATTCAAGTACTCCAGCACTCTGTTGACATACTGGATACATTGAATTAAATGTAACCACTATATGCCAGTGTTCCCCTAATTAATAGCAGAATTTGACCCTGATCCTCCTTCCTTTTAATCCATTGCATGCTGAATGTTTTAAATAGATTCAGTATGAGCCATAGACATACCAAAGACTCTTTAACATGGCATACCAAACTCTATGACCCCTGAATTTGTTAAGGGTTGCGTTTTATGACAGCCTGCATTTTATAAAGTGTGTTTATTTTACTTCAGCTATTGACTTAGAGAACATTAATGTTTGAAATCATGTTTTTAGTATTGTTGGACATTTATCAAATTTTCCTGCGTGTATATCCACATTTGGGTTGCACTTCTTAGTCAAATCCAGTCATACAAACTAATGCGCTGAAATACCTTTAATGGACCCCTTGCATCCCTTGGACTAGCAGAATCATGGATGCTCAATTAATAAAAATTGGTTATGAGGTTCTCAAATCAATGAATACACAAGTCCCATTACCATTAGTACATTCGTGTCATGTATTGTAATGGACATGTGGTGTGGTTACGCTCAGATTGTTGTCAAATTAAAATGATTTCAAAACTCAAGTTTGTTAAAATGAAAATTCGTTAATAGGGGTGTTAGGTAAATTTGATTCAGATCTATGTGGTTCATATATGCAGTAAACTGGATTTATAGACAGTTGATGAAAAATTAATTTAAACACTGTAATCTTTTCTGTTGGTGCAAGATAAGCTGATATGAACGCTGTATGGCTGTAAGATTGATGTCATGTCAAATATTTGGTGCTGTGGCCGAATTTTTGACCTTCTTTCTGAATTATCAGTGACGGAATTTAAGGAGTCTGTTTGAAAATATAAATGAAGATTTTCACTAATTTTTATCTTTCAAAATCCCACAGAATCTTCAGGGAGAATATTGATTGCTTGTCACCCTTGTGTACAAGAAATATGAATTATTAATTCGTTACAAAAAACTCTTTGCAAAAAATATCCCTCTGCAAAAAATATCTCTTCGATATTTAGACCAGCCAATGCATCACTAATGGTGTGACCCAAACATGCTGTTAGTGTGACCCTTTATCCTAATTATGAGCTGTGTACATTTAATTCATCTCGTGAATATGTGGCTAAAAAAGCTGTCTCTATTATTAAAATTTGTGAGAAAGTTTTCTCTGAAAATTGTATCTCTCCTTGTTGATTACAAAAAATGGCATGGACATGCTCAACAAATCTTACTATATGTAAAGTAACTGGATTGGGTGTTAATTTCACTGCGACAGTCTGTCTACAAATATGATATATTAGAATTAAATTACCTGCTTTATTATTTTTCCAAATGTGTGCAATTTCTGCCAACAAATAACATTGATCTAAGCACCCTGGGACTGCCTAGTAAATTGAAGCCCAGGTTAACCAAGGTTTTTTCTCACTTGCACAAGGTCGTACATAAATGTACATTTATGGGTGTGTTTTGTGAGAGAGGGAAACCCCTAAGAGGTGCCTCTCCCTGCATACCAAGAATGTATAACCTTACATTAACAGACATGCCTGGAGAGTAGATATTTCAAATAAAATGTACATACTACAAATGAATTAAATCTCAATGGTGCAGATAAATAATTATTACATTCCATTAGTAAATTGTTGGCATGCTCGACATATCCGTGTCTTTTCTGACATGTTCTAGAAAACTTTAAAAACTGGGTTGGGTGAAATAATAAAATGACAGTTTGATGTAATTATATCCCTTATATCTTCTCCAATCATTTGAATGTCAAAGTCAATCTTTATTACAAATTAACCTGCAAAATTGTTTTTTCTATTTTTTGTAGCAAATGATAAATTTTTTCCATTTTGTCCAAAATATTATGGCGTTCATGTTAACTATCACTTAATGTGATGTTACAGAATGTATCCGTTACATCTGTTATTTTATTTGTTTTTATAACTGAAAATCTTTTTTCTTCTCAGAGCAAGAAAAGTACTTGAAAACAGAGGCTTGAGTGATGATGATAGGGTAAGACACTTACTTTACTAATGTCCTGTGATGTGATATGATAATCAGAACTGTTTTATCAGAATGTAAAGCAATTGGCCGAGATTCCAGACTGATAAATTTGTTGGTTAAATGTTTCGTTTTAGACGGCCTCTGTTTGCGAGATTGTTCTGATATTCAAAACAAAACGAATAATAGTATTTATCAAATTTTATTTTAGCTAATCATGCATAATCAGCATATATACGGACAGACAAAAAAAAATATTACATTCAAATGTCTTAAGTATGGTTGCATTGAAATTCCACAATAGTCAACTTTGGTATCATTTTCCAACATGGAATGTGATGAATTATGAACGCAGATTTTTGAATTGACCTGTGATATATTATCGTATTGCTTCTTGAATATCCAAATATTTTTACAATGATTTTAACAACGCTTGACTAAATATAGAAAACCATAAACATTTGTTGAATAACTTTGTATGAATGTGACCTCATGTTACTATTTCTTTCCAGATATTTTGTGTAGCACTGTACAAACTGTTTAATGACGAACTACACAATAAATCATGACATATATCACATTGTATAAATGACATACTACACAATAAATGATGACATGTATCACATTGTATAAATGACATACTACACAATAAATGATGACATGTATCACATTGTATAAATGACATACTGCACAATAAATGATGACATACATCACAATATAAATACATACTACACAATAAATGATGACATATATCACATTGTATAAATGACATACTACACAATAAATGATGACATGCATCACAATATAAATACATACTACACAATAAATGATGACATATATCACATTGTATAAATGACATACTACACAATAAATGATGACATGCATCACAATATAAATACATACTACACAATAAATGATGACATGCATCACGGTATAAATGACATACTACACAATAAATGATGACATACATCACTGTATAAATGACATACTACACAATAATTATGTATTATCCCACAATATTTCCTCTTAGTTCGACGTCAGCAGACATGAGCGATTATCACTAGAGTTTTGTATAAATCCGAGCAGCGGTTATGATATCCTAAGAGAAAATATTATATGATTATATATTTATCAAGTGCATATTTCCACAGTGTGACATAGTAAAATGGCGGAGTGTTAACAATGGAACCATCGCTAAAATTGTACCGAAAGCAAATGATGTCACAAGTGTTCTATTTCAGGCAACTGTCTTGTGGACGCTGTATGGTGATTCTGCTCATTTGCGGTAATTTGCTCAAATTTTGTTTGGAGGGACTAAAAAATAATTCCAAAAAAAACACACATGAGCTTGTCAAAATGAACAATTGTTAGCACGATCTGTAATTATATAACTGTATATTACCCTGTATGCTTCGGACATTGTTCAGGCCGCGCATACAGGGTTTTGATGTGCCCTGTGATATGTCACACTGTGGTAATACCCAAGTTATGCATGTGACATATGACATCACAACTCTCTTTCTAGTCCAAAATAAATATTGAACGATAAATCTTAGTGTAATCAATGACTGAACCATTGAGCTACTGAAATCAAACAAAGTCTTCTGTGAAATCATTTTTGTATGCCACTGTATCACAATTGTACCTACTCCAAGAACAGTCAGAAATTAAACAAATTAATTTTTTTTAAACTAATAAATCTAAAAATTCCTTCCTCTCAACATTCAAGACATAAAATTTACAACCTTGTCAATTTCAACTAATTACGAGCAAAAAATCTGTGTTTTTAACACAAGAAAAACTGTAAAGTGAAACTGTTTTTGAGTATTCTTTTTAACAGAACTTTTTTTAATGATTTTCTAAACATTAGAATGTTTGCGTCAATATGAATTTCAAATATTGAGTACATTTACTGAAAAGCTCACTTAAAAACTTCATTGCACTATTTGACTATGTGTAATTCCAAATATAGATGCTACTATTTTTTTCTTTTTTTTATTCTGGAACTGATATTGTACTAAATGTAAAACTCAAAATTGAGCTAGTATCAAAAGCTCAAGTCCTCCCATACTCTCTTACTAACACATTCTATTATAGACTGGTGGGAAACTAACTTCACCAAAGCGGTGAAATTAACGACAAATACTTCCCTGTTGCAGATACTAGATCTCGAAAGATTGGTCAATGAATCTCGGAGTATGGCCGAAGAAGCGGATCACAAATTTGAAGAGGTAAAACTGGCCAAGTCGTCTATAGCAGGCTGACTCCTGTGTTTTTCTAACGGCAAGATTTTACCTTTTCTCTCTAGATAGGATTACTTGAGGAGAAGCTGAAACATACCCGCTTAATGGCCGAGGAGTCTGAGCGCAAGTATTCTGAGGTAACGCTACACTCATCTCATTCCTCTTGGTGGTGGGCATACCTCATGTTTTTTCTCTTTCTTTTCTGCTTTGGAAACTTTTAAATCTAGATCACAGAATTAGAAAATTTGGTTAAAACCACCCGACAGATGGCCGAGGATGCTGACGTTAAATACGAAGAGGTAACATCCCAAGTTTTCCGTTCCTTTCCGTGTTTTTGTTTTGTTTTTAACCCCCAACCGTGTTCGAATACAATATGTAATCTCAATTAATCGCTTGAACGAGAATTCCGTACTTATAGCATTGAGTAACTAACCGCATCAAATAACCCGGATTTTAAAACAACAACAACATAACAGGTATAGTATTTGATTGTTGTATCATCCTTCCCTATCCTTTCTAATATTTTTTTCTCAGTACTATTCATTGTGCATCCAATCTCTCCATATTCATCCTGCATGCCCATTTTATGGTATGACCAGGTACGTGATGTATGCTTCCATCGTAATCTCTCATGTGGGCTAGCTGGTGCCATGCCACTCAGGTAATCCCAACTCATGCCTTTAATGAGGAGGGATTGACTCAGCTCACCCCCATTTATAATGGTATAAGCTGTTTATAGTGTGTTGGACCATACTATTTGCTGCTCAAGGGGTGTGTGCTTCTTAATCAACAGCATGACTGCATGGATTTGATACTAAATGAATGAATGAATTGAGTTGAGCCAATCCTCCTGGTTTGGGGGCAGAGTCTGGGAATCTTGTTTGTTTCAAAATATCTTGTTTTTTTACGAGTGCACTTCAATCTTATTAACTACATTATTGAACCGCTGAATCTTTGCATGTATTGAGCATGTATCACTGATTTTACTGTTACATTGTCAAAAAAGAATCTTGGATGCACAGTACCAGTAATTCTTCATATGACACAAAGAAAGTGCCGTTTATGACTTTCGTTCATTTCTGAAAATAAATATGATGTACATCGTGAAGTGAATATATATGATAATAGTCAAGACTCTACTGATATCCAATCGCTACTTGAAAGATTATTCCAAGATCAGAATCGTTAATTTCATAATTGCTGTATTCCATATATGATACAAATTTAAATTTTAATTAAAATTTGTTAATTTTAACAAGTTTTTAATTTTTGCATTTGCCAGGTTGCTCGTAAGCTGGTTGTCACGGAGGCAGAGTTGGAACGTGCAGAGGAGCGTGCAGAGGTAGCAGAAGCGTAAGTAGTGAAAGAGTTGTCATGACGAATTGTTGTACAAAGATATTGAAAACATCACAATTTTTTTATTTTGAAAATTCTTCTATCATCAGCCAAACAGCTTTAGAAGACTATACATCAATAATGTAATGTTGTGTGACATGGGTAAAATGGTTGTTTGTTGTATGTTTACTCCACAGTAAGGGATCTGATTTGGAGGAAGAACTGAAAATTGTCGCCACAAACCTGAAGTCCCTCGAAGTCAGTGAGGAGAAGGCCTCTGAGAGGGAATTCAACTATGAAGAAAAAATCAAGCAACTCGAAGCCAGTCTGAAGGAGGTTTGTGTAATCTCAGATAGTAGTAAACGTTTGGACCGATTAACAATAACCGCATGCCTTTGACACGGCGTAGGAGTTACCTTGTTGCTAGGCGTTGTTGTTTATATACCAGAATATAGTCCGATTTCATTTGTCTGATAAGATTCTACGAGTGGGAGAAATGAAATCGGATAACGCAGCTTATGGATACTGGTATATAAACAACACCCCCTACCAATGACAAGGCAACTCATTGACATTTCAAACTTTTTTTTTTTAACTTTTTGTATTTTAATCAACCCCCAGCATGTTTTGCATGTTTGGATTTTTTTATAATTTCACTGCTTTTTTATTTTTCGCCGTACTAAGTACGACTCACTCCTTACTGACCCCGACCACCCAGTGTGATGTCATGAAATGTCGTATACTGTGTCCGAGGACGAGATGGTCTAAAGTTTACTACTATTGCCCCCTTCATCCTAACATGCTTGTTGATGTACAATAACAGTTTTTTTTGATGTATTAATTTTTGTATATTTTCAATTATCATTTTTTTGAAGCATGATATTTAGCATTGTTGTTTTTTTTTTTTGCGCAATTTTTTGCACAACTTACTTTTACCCAACCCTGTTAATCAATTCCCTGTGATTTAGGTTAAAACTTAATGGTGTTTGAATTTGATAGATTGTAGGTGTTCATTCTGAGTGTTGCATTATTCACTAGTTACCGTTTTCTTATCAGTGTTGAAATGTGACGATTTAGACATAATTTATTGTTGCAATAGCAACTCAGAGACAAAATTATGATCAGCCAAGGACTTGTGCCCATTGTAGCAATGGTGGTCAAATTGTAATCAATAACCTTTTGAATAATGCATTATGATATAATTTTGAGTAATTTGTTCAGAGAATTATTTTACTTGTTCATCATTTGACCAAGACTGGCCCAGGTTTGAGAGATATTCTGTGATTTTCACAATCTGTGAGAAGAGGTGGAAATGGAGGGATGTCTTGCATGATTAGAATATAACATTATTTTCCACTAAGGTTAATGCACTGTCAGCCATATTGTCGGTATATTATTTTGACACCTTCCTTGATAAAATATTTATTTCAAATTTTGCTATTTCTCTTAAAATTGTTACCAAAATTTGTATTCTTTTTAACCAAAATCTGTTAGTAGTATTTTCTGACAAATTCAAACTTATTTGCTGAAATCGGAGAAAGTTATCAAAGAAATATTGAAAATAATTTTTGAGTAAAAACAGATGAGTTTTTAGTAATCTGGCTCATATACCAGACATGTCACAAGCAAACAATGTGACCAGTCATGCTGACAATTGGGGTCGAGGACAGTCTCACTTGTGCTAACAGTTAGCATAGAGGGCAGTCTACATTGTGCTAACAGTTAGCATAGAGGGCAGTCTACTGGTGGTGCTGAAAAGTTGTGTAGAGAACTGACTCTTCATCATGTAAAACATGCATGGCATACCATGGCATGTTTCTGGATGGATGGCTTTCAGGGAGTTCAAATGAGATACTGTTTATTACAATTTGGGGAATGTTCTCAACTTTCCATGCATGTATATCCTTCCTTCTTCATGGCTGCAGTTAACATGATGATGCATTACAAATGTCATTGACCTGCAATGTAAGCCCAGGACATGGTCAATGAAAAATTTGTGATTTCAATAGTTGCCTCTAGAGGGCACTGTAGTACTTTGTCTAATATTGTCATTTCAAAGTGAGTTTCTATGCACGCCAGTCTTGGTAGAATGACCAAACAAGTCTTATTGAAAATACAAGTTTTGTTAATTTTTTTTTTTTTTTTACCTGTCTTTGTATTTTTTTATAAAAATTTTATTCCATGTACTTATTGGGAACAAATGTAGGCATTTGACAAATTATGGTTAAAGCTATAACATTATTTGGATCGTTTGAACCCAAATGCATCAATTGTTTCTTTATAACTGTACAAGACATTGGATCATTAAGTTGACTGAGAGGGCGCACTAATGCAGAGCAGTGGAAAAATATTTATTTATAGGGGGTGCTCCGTTAATTTTAAAGTTAGTAAGGTGTTGGTGATGCACAGGTAAGGGATAGGCAGATTGTAACTGTACAACACATAATTCAGTTTTACTTGTACGCTCTGTTTCAGGCTGAGACCCGTGCTGAGTTCGCTGAAAGGTCAAACCAAAAACTGGAGAGACAAGTGGATGATCTTGAAGGTACGTTTGTCAAGGAGTCCACAAAGTCGGTTAATAATGTCCTCCCACTCCAAAAATTCTGTGGCACTTTCAAAGCACTGCTTTGCACAAACCAAGCTTTGTGTGCACGATTCTTTCCTCATTTATTAACAATTCTATATCTTAGCTGAAAGCTTCCTGATTTATAAAAGTAAAAAAAAAATTGCTGCTCTGAAGAATGTTGACAACAAAGCCATGATCAAAATTAATTTTCTGACTGAAATAAAAAAAATGTTGTTGGGTACTCACATTTTTGACCTCTTTGTTGTCACACCTAAAGTACAACATTCTGTTGACTGTATGAGGTTTTTTTATGATATATACATGTGTTGATGTGGCCTTATACCGGTAGTGCTAGAAATAGGATCATACAACCACAGAAATAACTGCTGGAGTCATTGACCAAATAAGGATAATGATTATTCCAAATGTGGTAACAGGTTTAGTTATGACCTCTGAACTGTAAATGCAATCCATATGTCAATAATGTGTGGTGATCTAAACAAGCAGATCAATTTCAAGTAAAATTTAGTCGGCTGTTTGTTGAGAATAAAAAATTCTGGTCAGCAGTCTTTTTTCTAGTATTGTCCCAAATAATGAAATATAATGGGTAATGCAATCAACTATTTCAGGAATTGATCTACATCGTTTACATTTCCAGCTGTCATGGGGTGTTCTTAATTGCCGAGTTATTTTTCAAACCATTTTTAGCCTTCAAATTATCCTAAGCTATGTTGCTCCAAAATAAAATGCAGTTGATCTTTGGGAGTGTCTGAATTTGATCTTTAAGAAAAATGTAGTCACTTGGTTTGCATGAAAATATACCCTGTTAGTGCATGCAATTTTATTTGTGTATGGGTTGAAAATATGGGTTGCATATTATCCTTTTCACCACCAGTTCCATCTTTTAAACACAAATTCACAAAGTAGTCCCTTTATAGTCTGCACTTTCCTAAGAAGATTGGGACAAAAATAACCAAATTTTTTGTGTAAAAACTGAAAATAGACTAAAATTGTGTCTGTTGGCTCCAAAATTAGGGTTCATTACCAGAAATATTGATGAATACAAGGAAAAAATGCAGAATAATTTGGGCGAGAAAGTCTGGTGGTGAAAAGGTTAAATTCAAAATACTTTCCTTTTCGTGGATTGAGATTACGCAAGTGAGCATTATAAATCATTGTATAAATAACATGTACCATATTATCATTGTAGCTTATGTTAACAGTAAATTTATTACGCTAAGCGGATGGATAAAGTCATCACTTGCATACATATCTGCAAAATGCGCTTTACAAATGCCTATATGCGTGCGTTCCAGTTGATCCAGCTCGTGTGAAATCTGGCTGACTTGGGTTACCCTGCATATACGAGTATTTGCTGGTGAATATACGCTTCAGCGGTTGGTATTCCGGCCAATGCTTTCTCTCTTTTTAACCCCTCTCTTGGTGTTGTATGTCTTGGTGGTGGGTGTGTCAGTCACGTGTGTTTCATTGTTTGTAATTCACTTAAAGTGGAGTACGTAATATACATTGTTCAAAATTGTATAACACAAATTCTCACTGTGGCACTTAAAAATTTTAATTAATGTTTAACCTACCTGAGGGTTTCCCTTTCCTAATCTAATTCTTAGAATTCATTGCATGCACAGTTCAAGATAAATCTGATAATATTTGCTGACAATTTTGTAATAGTGTCATATATATATATATATCCACTCTGTATTTTTGTGTCTTAGTTTAGTTTTAATCAAATTGCACTAAAGTATTTGGCCCTTGTCAAACTCATTAACACATTCAATATTGAATGAATTAAAAATCTATATTAACAATTTTCGGAAATGAAATAATTTAAAGATTTTTGCATATCTATTCAATATAGTTTTACTGAATTAACAAGAATTAAACATGAAATTACTTTATTCATATTCAGTGCTTTAAATTCTTTACTGAAATAGTCAAAAGCTATTTGGCATCCATTATTACCCATAATGCAATATGGAGGTATCAACAAATTATCGTCCAGTGTAGAGATATTTGGGATAAAATATAAAAATGAAAATTCACATACATTACGCATGCTTGTTAATTTATGTTCATTATCAGTCTAGTTACTTTCTTCGATCAACCAATGTTGTACATGTCAATTATTTTCGTAATCTGGTGTGGAACTTGGCCTGCTTTCCACTGTGCTTATGATATTTAAGATGTTATAATTTTTTGGGTAATTTTCTCCATTTCATATCACAAATATTTTAGAAAACTTGCTTCTCTATAGTTTTGAGAATGTAAAAAAATTATAACTCATTCAAAATTTGCCAACATGTCATTTTGATTTTTAAAATTATGAGATTCTGTGACACAATTATTTTCCTCTCTCGATCTGATTCATGATGTGCAGTTTAGCATCGTGTGCTGTCAATTGCATGTACGTCTGTACATACGTCCTTGTTGTCTGTGTATTTAAAAAAAAGGGAGAAAGCCTTGTACAATTTACCTTTGAAATTTGCCACTGCAGATAAAGTGTATGAGGAGAAGGCCAAGTCAAAAGAAGTCAGTGACGAACTGGATCAACTGTTGATGGACCTGAACGATGCTTGAATTGGATCACGTTATGGTTTCTTCAGCATCAGCCATCAAACATGTTTCCTATTTTATAACATTTTTGGTTTCCTCCTTACTTCTACCTTCAATATTAGATGAGCTGTTTTCTGAGAAGGAAAAGAACAAGTCCATGGCTGACGAGCTGGACCAGACATTGCAAGATCTACATGCTATGTAACACGCCTACTGCCTGCAGTCAAAGCCATTCAAGAACAGAGGTTCTAGAATTCTTCAAGCACAACATGCAAACAAATATTTTGATAACAGTGGTCATTAACTCTCGTTAGGAACAGGTTTTTTTTATTTACCCAACTGTGGTCATATAGGTGCTTTATGTCTTTTTCGGACATTTATTTGAGAACTACTTTACCAGAAGCAGTTTACATTGGATAGTCTGCAGTGATCAGTTGAATGTCAGTTTTTTTGTAACTAGTCTTTACTTTTACAACTTTTTCTTTGTCTCACTGATGAAGTTTCAATCTCGTCTTCTATTTATGCTGTCTTAAGTACGAGGTATTTACCTGGACCACAGATCGGTCTCTTTTTATCGGAGCTATGTTCCGCGAAACTGAAATACAAGCCTTCCATGAAAAGTTACCTAGATTTTGGGTAGCCATTGCTTTTTTTAAACCAATGAGTAATTTCTGAAATTTCGTCAGTGAGAACGAACTTGTTCAGAATAGAAACGGCGCTTGTATTGTAACACTGTCAATAACTTGTTGCAAAATGTATGTGGCACTTTTCTAACTGTTCCTAACAGAACTTGTTTTCTAATTTCCAAGGAGCCTGATGTGCAGTCTTGCCTACAAGCGCAAACAGAACAAAATAAAAAGGCTAGCACTTCCCAGTTTGCTTCTGCACGTTTCGTGGCTGCTCCCCCACTTCGTTTTGAAGGCTAGAAAACGATTATGCTTTGTACTAATAATCACTCCCTCCCCAGCACCATTTATGGGCATATTCCATTATTTGATAGGGATGGTCGGCTGGAATGTGCAGGGGCAAACTGGTACTCAACAATTTGCTGGCTTAAATTAAAGATTTAAAAAATACAGAAAAAAAAGTAGGGGATAGGCATTCATATTTTTTTACTGTTTTGAATAAATATTTCCTTGATTCTCCAATTGCACGTATCAAACCAAATCATTTTTTTTTAAAAAAGAATACCGGTATTACACTTTCTAGAATTCTCTTTGCCATTTCGACCATCCCTATTAAAAAGTCTTTGTAGATGTAGTAGGTAAGCTTCTTCTAAATTAGTAATATATATATACACACACACTCTCTTGATGTGTTTGTAATTATTAATATAGTTTAGTGTGTTGTTGGGCCCATATTTCAAGTGAAAAGAAGTAAAATCTTTTTTCATCATGCTTAAAAATAGTGGAGCTTTTAATTAAAATGTTGAATAAAACCAGAAAGACGACGAATTGAAATAAAAACAACGTGCATCAACTTTTCATGCAGTTTATTTTCTAATTCATTGTTTTTCTGTAGGTGAAAAATGTAGACGTTTTACTTTCCCCATTTTATTTTCTTCTCTGGATATTTGCCTTGTTTGTTAAAATCACCAATAAATATCATTGTACAAGATAGTTGCCATAGAAACCACACTGTTTTGTGAATTTGTATGATTGCAGGGTGTGTAAAAAAAAAAATCAGTTTTGTGTGTTAAACTGAAAGGAGTCATCTGAGAAAATACCTAGGTATGTTGCGGTCCAGTGAAGTTTGTATTGACACTACAAAGCAAATAGTTTTTTGGGGAGCAGTAGTCAACAAAGTTAGCTGCATTTATTAGAGATCATCTCAAATGCTACTTGGAAAGTAAATTGTTTAAATGTAAATAGCAAGTTCAATATTGCCAAAGATGAATGGTTAAGGGGTGGGGGTGAAAATCTGGAGTTCCAATCTTTAGAAGGGGTGGGAGAAGAAAACATTTTCCCCCAAAATTGCATGAACAAAATATATTTAGGTCGACTGATATTTGCTCCTGGAAGTTTAATGTTCAACACCTTTAATAACATACTCTAGTAATGGGAAATATTTTACACTGGAAGATTTTAGTTTTTGGAATTCAAGTCGCAAGATTGGGTTACTTATCCCAATCGATTAACCTGGCCATTAACCACCCATACCACTTGAGTCTTGATGCATTGAAATGGAAGATCAATCTTATTTAATTCAACTAAATGTAAATGCAGCCATATGACGAGGCAGGACAATACACCAGTGCAACCTGAAGATCTTATGCAAATTAGTACAACTGTTTGTCAAATAAAAATCAAACTTGTTAATGCAGGAGAAGCAATGTGTTCAATAAAAATCAGTTTTGTGTGTTAAATTTAAAGGGGCAGATACAGACTCGCAAGAAATTATCAAATCACATAAAAATACTCCAAAATCTAGGCAAAAAAAATGGCAAATCAGCTACCAAAAAAACTAGAGACAAAAACTTAAGACTTTTGTATGTTTCAACATCTAAAATTTGAGGGGCTATTTCGATGTAAACATTCATGTACACAGAGGTTTTTGTATTTATTTCTTGGAGAAATTAAACCTAGGTACCACGAATTTCAAGAAAAAAAGAAACAGATTATGTGCTTTGCGTACCAGACTTGCATTCCACTGGTTACCATCTTGACTGTTCCCAAAGATTTCGCCTTCACAATCAGTGATCATATCATGGATTGGTTGATAGTTATAGCATGCTCCTATTTTTCCAAATGATGGACGTTATTTGCATTTGATATATCAGCTGATTGTTTTTCACAGAAAATATCCCCTTCTTTCAGCTTTAATTAAAGAGAACCTCAATCCAAACATAATGAACTCCCAAGAAAAAGCTCCATAAATGTAGGAGAATGCAATTTACAGTTTTGTTGTATCACTTTTCATTCTCTAGATATTCCACTTTTCATCAGTATTACGTAGTCAGCCATCTTGATTTTCAAGCAAAGAATTATGGGTAAAGTATGACATAGAATCTGTTGTCAGAAAATGATTTCATCTATAACTTCAAAAGTTGAACTTTAAATTGGCTGAAAGTTTAGAAATTGGTAGCATACATGTACTGGTACCATCCATGCTTATAAAATAG